AGTGGGATGTTCAATTATATGTTTGTTTTATTGTGTATATATAAACCCCAAAAATAATCCAGCAATAATCCAAAAATAATAGGGGGACTATGTGTTGAATATGTTTCGACCTTTTTGGGTTATTTTTTGGGGTATGTTTAATTTTTCATCGGATATCCTCCTGTAGGGGGGATACGCCCGACATAAGAGTAGATGCCGACCAGCCATAACTGGGGGAGCTGTGGTCCTTACCCCCCTGGGGGAATCCATCGCATCGACGATCTCTCGAGAGGGGTGTCGAAATCGAGGGTCCCCACAGGGGGTAAGGACCACAGCTCCCCCAGTTGTGGCTGGCCTGAAATGGGGTCGAAGGGTCTCGCCGCAGCGCCGATACATCGCCGATGCATCGCCGATGCGTCGGCCATGAACTTGCGACGTCGGCGATGCATCGGCGACGGCGACGTGGAGAAAACTGTGCCCCACATCGAGCCGCATCGCTGATGCATCGGCGATACGGCGCGATCCTCCGACCCCATCTCCGACCCCATCCAGGACTCCTGGACAAACACGGAGGAACACAAGGCAACGGCCCGCTGCCCTGAGATCCTGGCGTCTCTATGTTTCCGAGCCGGGTAATGTCGTCTTTTTGTCGGACCCTCACTGAAAATGACGCAGGAAAATGGGGCCTCGGGCTCCGGGCATGCTTTTTGTTACGACGTTGCAGTTTTTCCGCTACGGCGGACCTCAGGAGGGGGCATTGGACAAGCCCATAGATCCGCAGACGCTCCAGAAAAAAATGGGGCGGGCGGCTTTTGGCCATCTGCGACCCCTTCGGGGGCCCTCGCCGGGCCTCGCGGGACCGTCAAGCAGCGACTCAAGACGAGAAGCTGGCTCCGGGGGAGTGGCCCAGGCCTCCGGGGCCGACGCATCGGACAGATCGTGGCGGCCCGATGTCTGGAAGGAGCTCTAGGATACAGTCGGAGCTAAGCCAGAACAGCATCCTCCAAGAGCATGAGACCCTCCGCCAGCCAAAACATACAGAACATCCTAGGGTGTCATCCCCAGTCTCACAGCATCGCCCACAAACGGAGAACACTAGGGTACCCTCCCCGAACCGACCTGGATCTTATTCCTCGGTCCGACTGTAAGGAATCAGGGGTCTGAAGCGAATGTAACTCCAATCGTGGATCGCCCACGGATATCACCGCCACCCACATCGGACAAGGACGCCTCCAGGGCCTGCAATCTCCCTGGGACATCCCTTACCGAACGCGCCCAAAATACCTGTACGACAGTGCCGTGTCGTGACGACTCCGACATGGTTTCTGACACCGCGCGGATCGTCCGGCCTTGAACGAGCCACGAATTCTTCCATCACAGCGGGGATCGTGCAGCCTCGACAAAACATGCGGCGGGATCGCCGCCGCGTCGGCACGACACGAGCCTACAGCGATCTGCCCCCGTCATCCATCGAAGATGGGTGGCGTGGGTAGGTCTCGGACTCCGCCACGTGTTCGACGAATTGCGAGCACTACCCCCGCTGCCAATCGGGTTGCCTGATCGGCAAAGGCAGGGTTCGGGTCCCGCCAGTCGGAAGAAGCAGGTGGAAGCATGAAGTAGGAAGGCGGAGAAAGTAGATTGGGCTCGGGCCCGCCCAAATAACAACACACAATAAAGACACATATCGATCCATGAAGCAGGAAGGCACTTGATACGGTATATGCATATACATTCAAAGATATATACATTTATGCACATATATACATATATGTATTATGGGCCCAGGTATTGAAAAGTGCCCTTGGAACCCGAATATTCGAAAGTGCCCACTTTCAACGACCGGCGTGCATCGGACTTGCAGCGGAGTTGGACTGCGTCACGTGTCGCCGCGCCGTCTGCCCTCGACGCGCCCGGGTGGACGACGCCGACTCCACGGCAGACCCACGGCAGACCCTGCGTGCGTCCCGCGCCCAAGGAGACGCAACCGGCGCCGCGGCAAATCCAGGGCAAGCCCTGCGTGTCCGAGGCGGCGTTTGCCCTCGCAGACATCCTGGCGACGGCGGGTGCCGGGGTCACGGTTCCCGGGGCGGGGAGTTCTACCCTTTTGCCGAAAGGGGGGGGGTGCGATCAACCTACTGCGGTTCCGTGCCAGTGTCACCTCTTCCTCCCCTGAGTAAAGGGAGAAAAACGCCATAGACAGAAACTTTTCGCGATCCGCGCGGAATCGTTGGATCTGCGCTGGACCCCCCTCCCTGGCGCGGGGAGCGCGCCAGGGGCGGCGCCGGAGGCGCCGCCAGGGGGGCCCAGCGTGGATCTAAGAAACCCGCGCGGAGCACCAAAAATTTATGTTTATGGCGTTTTTGTCCTGATATAGCTCTCTGAGAGCTAAGAGGACTTCAGATAAGAAACTGGCAGGCAGGGCTACGCAACTTCCTCTCCAAGGCTCCCGGTCAAACATCCCCGCAGCGCCTTGCTTGAACCCGCAGCGGGTCGCTCCCTAGAAGCTCTTTCGAAACTTGTTTTTTTCCAGATAGCTTCCCGAGAGCTAAGAGGGTTCCAGATAAGAAGCTGGCAGGCGGGGATAATTACGCCAGCTCCTCTCCAAGGCTCCCGGGCAAGCATGCCAGGAGCGGGTTGCTTGAGCTCGCGGCGTGTTCCGGCCAGCGTTTCCCTACTCGCTCCCAGCATGCGTACCTGAAGCTGAAGCCTTTTCCGCAGGTCCTTCGCAGCTCCCCCGAAGCTCCTAACTCGCTTTTCGAAGCTTGCAACCTTCCCACATATGCTTTCGAGAGCCCCGTCGGGCGTCTCCCAGAGGCATCTTCTGAGCTTGCAAGGTCTCAGAGCATGCTTCCCAGCGTCCTGGCAATAGCGTCTCCCACGAGCGCTTCGCGCGATTTGGCTTGTGTCGCTATCCAGGTTTTGGACTGCACTATAGTTCTCCCTCCCCCGAGGCCCAGTTTGGAAACCCGCAACGGTGCGGTGACAGTCCGTGCGGTGATCTCGACATCCCCCAAGACCTCACCGCACGGTCCGTCACGGCACGTTCCTGGGACCTTGGATGCTCAAGCGGCCCGAGACGTCCTCGGAGAACGACCCGAAACCCAAAACCGTGCGTTGAGCAGGGACCGACCGTCCCGGCATTCCTATAGTCCTACCTCGACATGTTCTTAGATACCAAACATGTTCTAATAACAAAACAAGATTCTTAGAACATAAGCCCGATGTGCTAAAACAAGACAGCCCCCCGCCAGAAATGTTCTAAGAAAATTTCGTGGGAACCACTAAAGGTTCTTAGAACACTGTTTCGTAGGGCTATAGGCGAGCCAGGACGCTTCGCCACTGCATGAGTGCGCAGACCCCGAATCCCCACCGACTCACCGCACGGTGTGGTCACCACCCCGTTTGGGGACCCGAGGAGGAGGAGGAGGAGGAGGAGGAGGAGGAGGAGGAGGAGGAGGAGGAGACGCACCCCCCAGTGAGGAGGAGGAAAGGAGGAGGAGGAGAGAGGCGGAGGAGGAGGCGGAGGGAGGAGGAGGGCGGAGGAGTAGGGAGGAGGAGGGAGGAGGAGGAGGGAGGAGGAGGAAAGGGAAAAGAGGGAGGAGGCGGAGGAGGAGGGGAGGAGGAGGGAGGAGGAGGAGGAGGAGGAGGTCCAGGCCCGCCGCGGCGCAGGAAGAGCGCGGCGCCCCGGGGCCCCAGGCGCCCCGCGGCGCGGCGGCAGGCGTGCAGCGCTGGGGCCACGAGGAGCACCGCGCAGGCCGCGAGCGCGACGCGGAGCCGGCAGCTCCCGCCACGGCTCCCGTCATTGCTAGGGGGGCAAGTACTGAGAGGAAGAGAAAGCACCCCAGAGATCTGTCCTCCTCCTCCTCCGCTCCTCCTCCCTCCTCCTCCTCCTACTCCTCCTACTCCCCGACCGCCTCTATGGCGCAGCGCTCGAGCCCCTCTCCTCCTCCTCAGCCAACTCCTGTTCCTCCTCAGCCTTCACTACTCCCTGTTCCTCCTCAGCCTCCTAATCCTCCTCCATATCCGTCATCCTACTACCCCTCATCTTCCTCCGCCCCCCTCCTCCTTCCTCCCTCCTGCTCATCCTGTGCTCCCCTCCTCCTCCCCTCCCTCTCCTCTCCTTCCCCTCCTCTTTCCTCCCCCTCCTCCTCCTTCTCCTCCTTGCTCCTCCTCCTCCTCCGCCCCTCCTTCCTCCTCCTCCTTCCTTCTCCTCCTACTCTCCTCCTTCTCCTCCCTCCTCCTCCTCCCCTCCTCATTCCTTCTCCTCCTGCTCCTCCTCCTCCTCCTCCTCTTCCTCCTCCTCCTCCTACTCTTCCTCCTCCCCCTCCTCCTCCCTTAGACTCGCCCGCCCGACCCGCCGAGATCCGACGCTCCAAACAAATTGGAGCTGGCGGTTTGGGGGGGCCCTCGCTGGGCCCTGCAGGGGCCGTCAGACGACGATTCAGGGCGACAAACCGGCCCCACAGGGAAGAAACCCAGACCTCCGGGGCCCACGCATCGAAAGAAATGGAGCAGCCGGATGTCTGGGAACACGACACATACAGAAACTGTCGCTGGTCCAAGCTGCATTTCTTATATCCGCACTGGGCCCCCCTCCCTGGCGCGCGGAGCGCGCCAAGGGCGGCGCCGGATGCGCCGCCAGGGGGTCCCAGCGCAGATCCAAGGAACCTCCGACAGTTTATGTCTATGTTGTTTTTCGTTCTTCGAACAATGACATACCCATTGGTCGGGAGAAGTCGGTACAAACATAGAGCAGGAAGGCATGACAAGGTAGATTGGGATTCTGCCCGCCCCGTTAAAATGAAGGAGGGAAGAAGACCACACGACCAATGAAGCAGGAAGGCGCTGAAAAAACACTGGGGCACGGGGATCCAGACATACCTACATTCAACGACCGATGGGTAAACAAAAATCGCTCAAATCCGCGCGGATCTCTCGCATCGGAGCCGGGGCCCCCCTGGCAACGTCTCCACAGTGCCGCCTCTGGCGCGCTCCGCGCGCCAGGACGGGGGGGGCCAGCGCCGATCCGAAACACCCCCGCGCGGATCTCAAAGCATGTATGCTTCTGTCATCGCTTGTCCCCCTAGATGCCCACACGGACCCTTTGCTTGTTGGCCCTGGAACCGACAGGGCCGTTTTTTTTTTGTTTTAAATGCCGTTTGCCGTCTTTTCGCCGGTTCCGACGCCACTCTCTTGGGTGGGGGGGTCCGTCGCCGTGGTTCTGCCGGCTCCGGCTCCGGCTCCACTCCTGGCGCCGTTTTGTTGGCCGTGTCTGGTCGCCGTCGTTTTGCCGTCTCCTTTTGCAAGAGACATCTTCTCGGAACCGGTGGAAAAAAAAACGGCGGTGCCGTGTCCGGGGCCCGCCAAGCCCAGACCCCTTCAGGTCGTGACGAAAGGCGCGACGACTTCTCATCATCCGCCAGGATCGGCGCGGGGGTTGCTGAGGGGACAGGGGGGCTATCAGCGGATTCCAGGGTGGAGCATCCCTCGCCTAACCAATCCAGCTCAGGAGTGGGTAACACATGCTCAAACTGCCTTCGTAGTTTTAGCGATCCAGGCTGAGTGGGCTCCGCCCACTACGGAGTGGTCTAACGCCAGCCCCTCGCACCAGTTCCAGGGCCTGAGAGTGGAGGCGCCATAGAGGGGATCCGAGCAGATGGGGTCGGAGGATTGCACCGCATCGCCAATGCATCGCCGATGCATCGGCGACGTCGGCGATACAGTCGAGGCGCTGACCTAAGGAACCCCAAATAAGGAACGAGGCCCTTTTTTCCGCAAGTTCCACCTCGATCGCCCATGGAAAACCTGAAGAAAACCCGAGGAAAACTTTGACTCCATGAAGGAACACCGAGCCCCTCCCCAACGAAAAGGGTTCCTTCTTCAGCGCCCCGACTGCACATCCGTCATGTCGGCCTGGAGAGCAGCGGGCCCCTCATCGAGCCGCACTGCCAGTGCCTCGGCGATGCGGCGCGATCCTCCGACCCCGCCTATACTCCGACCCAATCTCGGACTCGGCAGGGCATGCACTCCTGCAGGAGGATGTTGGAAGAAGAACTAAACATAGTCGACAGATCATCCAAACGTGTCAAGAGAGCACGCGAACTCGACAACAGGCGATTTTGTCCTTCTATTCTCGCATCTTCCTCCTGTAGCGGGACATGCCCGACTTAGAATCTAGGAGGCCTGAAGCACGACCCACCTCGAAAACCAGGCCCAGTAAGATAGAACCCATCCCATGCATCCATCGAGAGCCCCCCCAGGTCCCCCTGAGCCCAGGCTGGGCGGGCCCAGCTTCGGAGTGTTAACGATCCAGGCTCGGTGGGCTCCGCCCACTGCGGAGTTATCTAACCCGCCCCGGGGAACAATTTTGGGGCCTGCACGTCCCATTTAGGAAGCCAGGCCCAGTACGATAGAACCCACCCCTGGCATCCAATGACCTCGCCCCCCCCCCCACCCACACCGGGTCCTGCACGGTGTCCCCCGGGGCCGTAGGCGACCCGAGGAGGAGGAAGAGTAGCGGAGGACGACGAGGAGGTGGAGGAGGGGGAGGGCAAGGAGGAAGAGGAGGAGGAGGAGGAGAGTAGATGAGAAAAGGAGAGGAGGAGGAGGACGAGTGGAAAAATAACGGAGTCGGAGAGTGGATGGCGGAGGAGGAGAGAGAGGAGGAGGAGTAGGAGGAAGAGGACGAATAGGAGGAGAGGCGGAGAAGAGGAGGAGACGGAGAGAGGACGAGGCAAGGAGAGGGAGAAGGAGGAGGATGAGAGGAAATAGGAGAGCCGGCGGGAGCGTAGGGAGGGACGACGAGAGGTGAGTAGGGGAGGGCAAGGAGAGAGAGAGAGGTCGGACAGGAGGACGGAGCGGCGGCGAGGGAGGGCGAAGAGGCGGGTGAGGGCGGGGAGGACGGCCGGCTCGCTTCGGAGGACAAGGCGCGGCGGTCGTCGTGCCCGGAGGAGGATTCGGCGCGGGCTCGGCTGCGGGCGCTGCGTCTGCGCTGGCTGTCTGCTGTGCGGCGCCTTGCGGCCGTATTGCTTGCGTGCGGCTTCGTCTGGCTTCGGAGCGGGGGCGAAGGTCCCTATGTGTTGCCTCCCCACCGGCTTCTCGCCGTGGCCTCGGTACTCCTCCAACCACAGACTTCAGGAGGAGAAAACACCACTCAACAACCCGACTTAGATCCCGGGGAAGGTCCCAAAAGTCCAGGCCCTCGGGGTCCCGCCACGAAAGAGATCCCCCGCCGTCGGCGCCTGGGTTTCTGGAACGCGTTGGACCTTGAACTCTCGCTTCCTCTCCTCCTCCTCCTCCTCCTCCTGCATCCTCCTCCTCCTCCTCCCCGCTTCCACCTCCGACTGGCGAAAAAAAAAAAAAAAACAACGGTTACACGTTACAGTGACCATTCGCTGGAAAGACCCCTGAGTGCGAGCACACCGCTTCTCTCGTGTCTGGCGCCAGCGTGTTCCGGCAGAGCTTTGCGGGAACACGCTGAACGCACCGCAGTCAAGGGTACATCCCTTCCCCCCCCCTCTTTGCTCCTGCGCGCGCATGCTGGCAAGAGGGAGGGCCGTACCATCGCTGTTTCTGCCCAGGCCAATCTGAGGAGCCGGCGAGACGAGCGACAGCTGACATGTACCACTGGCAAAAAAAGCTATAGCACGTCATACAGACCCAATCACCTGGCTGCTCCACTTGTTTCGATGCGTGGGCCCGGGAGGTCTGCATCGTTTTTTCGGCCCGAGTCGTCTTTTGACGGTCCCAGGGCCCAGCGAGGGCCCCCGGAGGCCGAAAACGGGCCAAAACCGCCAGCTCCAATTTATTTGGAGCGTCGGATCCCTGGGTACAGATCACAAGTTCGAGATTGTCAACTGCTGTACTGCTTCAACAGCTCTAGGGACGGACCGTCCCGGCATTCTTATGTGTCTACCACAAACTGTTCTCAGAACCCGAAAGGTCTCTTAACATAAGCCCGAAGTGCTCAAACAAGAGAACCCCAGACATAAATGTTCTGAGAACATGTCGTGCAGACCACAAAAGGTTCTTAGAACATTATTTGGCGGGCCTATATAGAAAAAGTGAATACGCCATTCACATAAATTGTTGCCGCTCCGCGCGGATTTCTTGGATCCGCGCCTGGGCCCCCCAGCGGCGCCTCCGGCGCCGCCCTTGGCGCGCTCCGCGCGAACATGCCGTATGTACGTAACAACATCCAATGGTTCCATAGACGCGCGTGGCTGGAAAGCGAGAGCGGTACTTCGCATGGGCCCCCTGGTGTTTCTAGGAACAAATAAACTTTGACGGGGCCCCAGGACACACAAACAAATACTCACAAATAAAAATATTTCCCATAGTTTCCCATATGTTCTGGGTTTCTGCTTTCCCCCCACTTCCTATATTTTCCCATAGTCTCCTGGGGGTCGACGATTAATTGTGTCTGTGTTTTTTTTGTTCCCCCTCCTGAAGACTTGGCCCCTCCATCCCCGTGGGGAGCGCGTGGGGGCCCGGGGGCCACGACAGCCACCTTGCAGCGCATCGTCTCCCGAGCGCTGGGGCAGTGGCCATCGCTCGGACGTCCATTCCCTGTGCTCATTTCGGTTTCGTGCGTGGTTTTTTTTTCGCAGGATGATCCAGGATGCTCCTTAATAATCCCCGCCGGGAAAAAAGCTCACACGTCAGAGCGATACCAAGGGCCAGAAAGCGCCAGCCACCGGCGCATGCACCGCAAGACTCCTCGGCGCGCGCGCCTCCCTCTTGGGGGGCGACGCAACCATGGTGCTTCGGCGGTGGACGAACCTCCCTTTGGTAAACCTCCCCTTAGGGTAAAGCGGCCTGGGACGGGAACCGAAAACGGCCAGACATGCGACGTCCTGACTTTTTCAGGGGGACGCTGCCGGGGGCCGGCGAGGGCCCCCAGGGGCCGAAGATGGCGAGAAGCTGGCCGTCCCGATTTTTTTCACGACGCGATTCGGAGGTGGACGAACCAAACCTTTAGCAAACATCCCCCTTGGGGAAAAGCGGCCGGGGGTGCCGAAGCCGACGGACCTGGACCCGCAAAAATGACGGCCGCGACGCCCCCCTCGCGAGCCGAAGACGGCCAATGCCTTGCTCGGCGCGTCGGGGCAGGAGGTCCACCAGCCTCCGAGCATGAGCATGCATGCCCGGGTGGCGCCGGAGACACCTCCCCGACGTATGTTCCCTGACCTTCCAGAGAGCTATTCTTTAGCATGGGAGGCCTAAAAACCTAAAAAAACGAAACGAAACAGCCTAAAACCAAGACGTAAAACAGCCCTGGGATCGGTGTTTAAGTCGCGTGCTATTTCTTAGCCCTCCTGGAAGGTCAGGGTTTGTGCAGCTTTCTCTTCCTCTGGGATGCCCACCGGCCTCCTCCACGTGTGCCGTTCCGCGCCGCCCCGCGCCGCCCCGCGCCGGCGCGCGCGGAGCCCCCGCCATGGCCGACGCGGCGGCCTGCAGCCAGAGAGCTGCTGCAGGGCCACCAGGATCACTCGATTAAAGGAGCCCCAGGACACACAAATAAATACACACAAATAGAAAGACTCCCGTATATTTTCCTGTATTTTCTGGGTTTCTGTCTTCCCCCCCACTTCCCTTATTTTCTCGAATTTTCTGGGGGATCGACGATTAATTGTGTCTGTGTGATTTTTCCCTCCAGAGACTCGATGTAGGACGAGGCCAGGACGAAAATCGATCCGGGTGAGGACACCTCATCGAGAACCTCTGAGAAACGACCGGCGGCTCTGGAGGACGTCTCGGGCGCCGCGGCGTCCGGGGACGCCCTGGAACGGATTTTTCCTCGTCCAAGCCCTGTCCAACGAAGTTATGCTGCATCTTCGGGGGACCTTGTCGGTCCCTTCCCGCCCCTAATTAACCGGGTCGAATCCGCGCCGAATCCTTGTCGGACCCGGACTCGTCGAATCCGCGTCGACTTCGCATCGAATCCGCATCGAATTCACCCCAAATCCGCGTCCAGCCCACATCGAGCTCGTCTCGGGCACAAGAAACGACACCGCTTTGGGGACAGTCGACGTCCTCCGAGCTCCATGGAGCTACTTTCGGAGGCGCGCCCAGGGGGGGAGTGAGAAGGGGGCGGGCCGTCTCAGAAGGCTTGGAAAGCCTCCTGCCTTCCGAGATAATCTCAGATCTCGAAGCCTTGCCCGAAGACACGGACCACTTCTTCGACGGCGCGGGCCCAGACATGTCAGGAGCGGCAAAGAGGGGGGTGTCCAAGAGGGGGGGGGTGCAAATCATGACCAGCGGCATGTGCGCGGCCCAACGGGGGGCCAGGGACATAATGACATAAGAAGAGGCGCCATGAAATCTGGGGAAATATCATGCGCCCCGCCATGATATCCACCCCCTCCTAGTCATCACCCCCCTCTTTTCCGCCCCCGAACATGCGACGTCCTGTTCTTTTCAGGAGGGCGTTCCCCGGAAGTCCAGACCCTTGCCTCAGGGCCGGTCTTTCACCCGGAGTCGTTTGTCCACGCTGCCGGGGGCCGGCGAGGGCCCCCAGGGGCCGAAGATGGCGAGAATCTGGCCGTCCTGATTTTTTCACGACGAGATCCGGCGGTGGACGAACCTCCCTTTAGTAAACCTCCCCTTAGTGAAAAGCGCCTGGGACCGAAACCGACGGACCTGGACCCGCACAAATGACGGCCGCGACGCCCCCCTCGCAAAGCGCAAACGGCCAATCCCTTACTCGACGTGTCAGGGCAGGAGGCCTGTCAACCTCCGAGTCAATGAGCATGTATGCCTGGGTGGCGCCGAAGACACCTCCCCGACGTAATTATGTTTTTGTGCAGCTTTCTCTTCCTCTGGGATGTCCACCGGCCTCCTGCGAGGGCTTCCTAGAAGCCCCGCGGCCTTCTCGCAAGGCCTCGGGAGGCCAAACCTGGGCGCGCAAGCCGCTGCTACCGCTCCGTTTTCGGCCATCTGAGGGCCCATCTGTGCCCGCACCAAAGGTCACTCCGGCGACAGGTCACTCTTCGGGAAACAAAAAGTGACATAAACATAAAAACTCGGAGGCTCCGCGCGCCAGGGAGGGGGGTCCAGCGCCGATCCGAGAAATCCGCGCGAACCTCCGAGTTTTTTATGATTGTGCCACTTTTTGCTCCCCTAACTCTTACGTCTACCCTGACCTTCCAGGAGGGCTAAAACATAGCACGCGACTTAAAAACCTATCCCAGAGCGAAAACCTATCCCAGAGCTATTCGATGTCTTGGTTTTAGGCTGTTTCGTTTCGTTTTTTAGGTTCTTAGGTCTCCCGTGCTAAACAATAGCTCTCTGGAAGGTCAGGGGAAGGGGGGGATAGCAAAGGGTATAGGGTGGAGAGTCAGCTCACGTATAGCTCGCCTCCCGGCGCCGGGAGGCGCCCACGTGTACCGAGGGATGGGCCCGGCTGGCGGCGGGGGCGCGCAGACATGGATTAGCGATGCATGGACTTGGCGCGCGGCCGCCAGTTCCAATGGATCGGGGGAGGCGCCCTCCCCCGGATGCGGCCGGTGCCGCCCCGCTCGGCGGCGGAAGTCCGCGCTTTCCCATGCTTATGGCAGCGGGGCCCGCCGCTGAGCCACGCCCCCTTGCTCCATGCTTGCGATCGCCGGACTTTGGCTCGGGTCCGGGCTCGGGCTCGTGCTCGAGCGCGGGCTCGGGCCTGGGGGCCCCTCGTCGTCGAGAGATGGCCGCTGCTCGCCGGACGTTTTGCAGCCGCCCCGCCCGAGCGCTCCACCGCCGTGCCTCTCGCGCGCGCGCCGCGCCTCCCCCCGCGGACGGCGCCGAGAGCCGCTGCCGGGCGGCCTCAAGCCAGCGAGGCCTCCCAGTCGTCGGGGAAGTCGTCGTCGCACGCGGGGTCGCCAGGGGCGGCGGCCACCTCGGGGGAACGAGAAGGCAGAGCCACAGCGCGGCGTAAGCCCAGACCCACTAGTGCATCGTGCACGACGCTCGACCGGACCACACCGCCATCGAATCGTCCCGAGTCGAATCGAGATCGGGTCGCCGCGCCTGGCTCCCGCTGGCCCCAGCCGGTGCCCCTCGAGCCGAATCGAATTCGTTGGAGTCGAGCCCCAGCCGGCGAATCGAGTCGCACCGGATTGGATCGCCGGCGGCTCTGGAGGATGCAGGTGTGCCTTGCGTCAGCGGCCCACCCTGAAGGGGCCCCGGGACACACAAATAAATACACACAAATAAAAGGATTCCCTATTTTTTCCCATATTTTCTGGGTTTTTGTCTTCACCCCCATTTCCCATATTTCCGCATATTTTCTAGGGAATCGGCGATTAATTGTGTCTGTGTGTTTTTTCCCCTCCTGACACCCCTGGGGCCCAGCTCCACTGCGCCGAGAAATCACCGCTGCTCTTCCGACCCGGCCCCCGCCCTGCCCCGCGGGAGCGCGTGCTGGCCGTGTGACCCGGCGAGCCCGGCCGAGTGGCGGCTGGGCCCCCCACAAAAACACGGGAAGGGTATCGGCATCGGTGCGTCTGGCAGGACTTCGGGCTGCGAACTGACAGCCCGCCCAGACGAGGCCCCGGCTGGTCTTAGCAGGCCCCCTGACCCAGACATCGGGCTGCTTGGGCCCGGGAGGCCTGGTCCACTTCCCCAGGACTGGTTCGTCGTCTCGAGTCGTTTTTCCCATTTATCCTGTGGTGTTGGGTGCTCGTTCTGAAGACACAACGTCCCGCGTTCCTTCTTCTCCTCCTCGTCCTCCTCCTCGTCCTCCTCCTCCTCCTCCTCCTCCTCCTCCTCCTCCTCCTCCCCCCATGTCAGCACACCCCTCACACGCTTCGTGGCCCGATATAAGGAGCTCCACCGAAGGCCCCAGTGGCTGTGACCACATGGGCCCCCGCCACCCATTTCAGCACACCACTCACACGCTTCGTGGCCCGATATAAAGAGCACCACCGAAGAGGATACGCACCTCTGCGGTACTCACATCGGCGGTGGACAAGCCTCCATTTCGTAAACCTCCATTTAATGAGATTGCCTTATAGGATCGAAACCGACGGACCTGGACCCGCAAAACTGACGGCCGCGACACCCTCTCGCGAACCGAAAACGGCTCCGATCACATATGCACGTGGTTGGGCCCTTCGCCCGGACAATGTATGCAGGGGTCCCAGGGCCTGGCGAGGGCACTCGAGGCTGGACTGAAGTCGGGCCTGTCCCCCTACAGGGGGATTTTCCACGAACCATTAAAAAATACCCCCAAAATAATCAAAAGATGCTAACAAACATAATCAGGGGACTATTTTTTAAAATATTTGACCTTCTTGGGGTATCTGTTTGTTTCTTTTTGTTTGTTTTTCTTTCATTTCTCGTCGAAAATCCCCCTGTAGGGGGACACGCCCGACATGAGGCTGGACCCCCGGGGAAGATGGCGAAAGGCGGTGTCAACACCCCGACCCGGGACAGCTACAGGGCAGTGTTTAATACATAGGATTTTGAAAAACATCGGATTTCAATACATGATCAATGTATGAATAAATTCATGCATGAATTCACCTTTGTTTTGAATACTAAATCCGTGCATGTTTTATACGTGATCCGCACGCGGAACATGTATTAAAAACAACACTGTAGGGTCGCCGCCGGAGGCGGCGCCGAGGACTGGAGGCCCCCCCGGACTTCTCAGGAGGCATGCTTCTGGCCGGGCAAGTCCCCCTACAGGCGGACTTTGAGCGAAGAATGAAAGATGCACCGAAACTGTTCAGAAATGATCACAGCATTCTCAAGAATCGTCCCCTGGCTATTCTTGTGTGTTCTTGTATATTCCGCCTGTAGAGGGACGCGCCCGACTTCAGAATAGTCCAAGGCGGTCTCAACACCCCAACCCTGGGGCGCGGAGCGCCCCAGGGTCGCCGCCGGAGGCGGCGCCAAGGTCTTGAGGCCACCCCGGGCCAGCCAGGACACCCAGGGGGGGGGGCTCCTGTGCGCATCACGAGGCCCTCCTCAGGCGCGACTTGCGACGAAATCCGGGTGAGGATGAATCGAGAGTCTCTGAAGTCCAGCGGCTCTGGAGAATGTCTCGGGCGCCGCGGCCTTCTCAGAGCGTTCTGGAACGCTCTGCACTCTGGAACAAAATTATCCTCGCCCTAGCCCCGTCCGACGTCTTACCCCTCAATAGGGAACCGAACTCTATACGCCGACTCTTTTTTTTCTGGCCCTGCACGAAAATTTGCACAGAAAAACGGATCCTGGTGTATACAGGACCCTGGTGTATACGGGACCCTGGTGTATACATGTGTTGTTTCTCCGGGAAGGGTTTCAAACATCTATGCACCACACCACCCCGACGCTCTCCCGACACTCAACAAATCCTGGGATTGAAAAGCGGCCCGCCACGGGCGACGTATATGCTGCAATTTCAGACTCAGGGCACCTGCTCGGCCTCATCCTCGAGCTCGACCTCCTCGAAGCCGGCGTCCGGCACGGGTGTCGACGCGCCCACGGAGGCGGCGCGCGCGCCCGCCTTCTTGGAGGCCGGCGCTGCCGCAGTGGCGCCGGAGGCGCTGACGCGGACCTGCGGAGGGCGGCCGCGGACCACAGCCCTCGCTAACATCCCTGGGGCGAGAATGACGTCAGGATGCAACTGCCTCAGGATACGTTCCTTCTTCTCCTCCTCCTCCTCCTCCTCCTCCTCCTCCTCCTCCTCCTCCTCCTCTTCCTCCTCCTCCTCCTCCTCATCCCTCCTCGTCGTCGTCCTCCTCCTCCTACTCTTCCGTATCTTCCACCTCACCCCCCTCCACCGCTCCACGTCTCCCTCCTCCTCCTCCTTTTTTCGTTGCGCACACATGGATCGGAGATCGTTGCGTTTTTTCGTGACGTGCAAAAAAAGTTCAACAACTTAGGCGAAGAAGCAAACACATTCAGCAGGTGGCGGGCGCTGCGGCCAAAGACAGGCAAGAAAAAAGGACAGCAGGAGAAGGCCAACAACAAGGCGCAGAGTTAGCGCCCGCCACCTGCACTGGAGAAGGGACGTACCTGAGGAGTACATGTTGACGCGTTCCTCCTCCTCCTCCT